AGATTCACTGAAATTTTCAAACAGATTCAACCAACAATTCTGTAAAAAATTAAATTGGTGGCGGAAATTTTGAAACGTCGCATGGCGCTTGTGATACTATGACCGGAAGGTGACGATATCTTGGTTTGCAACGTTCCATAATTACTGTCATACAATACTTTTTGAATGGAAAAATAGATGACGTTATCTTTCGAAAACCTCCCTGATTTTTCTTCTCTGTGTGAGCAAAATCTATGCTTTGTAGGAAAAGCGTTCGTTTACTATCACTCAGAATCTGTGGTTGCCGGAGAGGAATTTCAGGGCGTTTCGTTTTTGTTGCTATCGACTTTTACATTGTTACTTATTTTTGTTGCGTATTTTTTTTTTTTAATCCTTTTTTCATCTTGGCGGGGTTTTTTGCCAATCAGGATGAAGGAAAATATCAGCACGACCGGATAGGGAAAGAACCGGTAGAATATTCATCTTAGACTGTATTTTTCTGAGATGAAATTTAAGCAGAGAAAAGTAATGAGACAAATTGTGGCAAAAAGGGAAAATCCAGAAAAAGTGACTTGTCACCGCTTTTTTGCTCTCCATCTCAATTTTGTTCCGCAGAGCATACTTTGGTCACCTCTGATCTACGGTCTCTCCCACTCATTTCCATTTTGGAATTTTAGGGATAAGATTTCCTCCGATGGGGGAACGCTCTGCATTTTAAAACAGTTAAAACGTTTTTAACACTGAGAGGCGTGGTTCTAATGTAAAGTTGACTTGTGGGGGCAAGAGATAGAAGGTTAAAAATAACAAATTCTTCGCGAATCTAATCGTCACGTCAAAGGACGCTTCGGAGCATCCACGCTCCAGAACTCGAATCAGGGAAGAAACATGAGTTGGAATGGACGACCAACATTTTTATATTTAGGCAGATTGACCTTAGAAGGAGTCATAAAATGAACTCTCAAGAGTTGAGAAAACTCCAAATGGGTGTGATGCCCAAAGGAACTACGAAATTAAGACAAGTTTATGAGTCGAAAATCAGTCGAAAGCTTGAATTTTTCCAGTACGCTTGTCTTAGTCTAGTTACTTTTGCAGCGATAAGAGTGGTCATTACGTGGCTCCAATTACAGCTCTTTAAATTCTACACTGACCTTGAAAACTTTTCTGTAATGAATGATAATAAAACCGTAACAACAGTTCGTGTTCGACGAGTGCAAATGAAGGTAGATTCGTAGCTAATCGCTATACTTACTCTTCTTTGAAGGGGTATAATTGATGTTCCGTTGTTATGATTCTCTCTTATTTGAGTTTGTCAGTCGAGCTGATGCGCCTCATCGCGTTGAAACATGATCCCGGGCTCAATTTAATGAATCTTCGTTTTTTCAAGACCAATAAATTCATAATAGGCGTTATAAAAATTGTTCAAGAGGAGTCAACCGCAGTAGCTGTTTGGGCTAGGTCAACGTGCATCTACTTCATTTAGAAAGAAGTTAGCAAATATCAATTATTTTGAGAAAAATACAAGTATTAGCAGCAGCCGGAAGTTTCATAAATATTTTAACCAAAAACAACATTTAACTTTGAATGTCAGAATTATGCAGATTTTACAGCACTTTCGAAAAATATTCTGAAGTCGCGATAAACCGATTGATAATTTTTTTTTTTTTTATTTTTGGATATTGTGTAAAACATTTTAGAGCTCCCAAAATACAGCGTAGTACGTCATGTGCATGTAAATGCAAACGCAAGTTGGATAGAAAAATACTTCGTACTACTCCGAAAGTGCATATAGAATATTGCAAATAGTTTCGTCTTCCGATTTACGGTATTCACTCCGTATCTAGGTGTTTTTTTTTTTTTTTTTTTTTTTTTTTTTTTTTTTTGGAATCACTTAAATCTGTTTGCGGGGTATAAATACTTGACGTGCCACAATATGACGTGACATTCGGGGATTTCTGCGAGAGAGTCTTGAAATTTAGAAGTTGTCAACTAGTCGATGGACTATCGAGCCGCTCTGGAGGGTTTTGCTACCATTTTAAATTCGCAAATCACCCTCTTTCGGACAAATCTATATGTCGACGGTGAAACTGCAAAAATGCAAGTCTCGGTTGAGGTGTTTCGAAACCTCCGCTACCATTCCATTTTTTAAAAGGAGACCGTACCATTATCATGGCTTGAAATTTTCACAGAAAACTCTATCTAAAGAGAAGAAAAATCGCTGAAATTTTCGGAAAATGACGTTTAGTGGTTTTCCATGTAGAAAATATATGAAAGGAAGTTTGCAACGTCACAAACCGAAATGCACATTTCTGCAGTTTCACCATCGATATGCTCATTATTGAACTGAGTGGTTTTTTGTTTGTGTTTTTCTCCCTTTAACTTTGAACGACCCTGCCTCCATTTCCCCAGAGACAAGGGACCCTCCCTTGCCCATGGTGGAAGCTTTTTACTTTCGGGACTTCATCATTCTACTGTTGACTTACCTACATGGTTGATGTTCAACAACGTGTTGGCAGTTTCGTTTCGCAAACAAGCCGAAAATTGCCGACGTTTGGGAATTAAAGTTGTTTGGCTCATGACGTCATCCGAAGCTCATCATCGACCATGTAGGTAAGTCAACAGCCGAAACTAGGGTGATGACTGTTGCTCCCTAATAATTGTCCATAAGGAATTGTTGAAACCCCGAAAGTAAAAGCTTCCACCTGTCGCTAGGAGGCCAGTGGAGGGTCTCTTGTCTCTGCATTTTCCAGTTTAGGTATGGATTATTTTTGGTTAAATTTTTGTGGAGCTTAAGCCAGTTTAGCTGCTTTTTGTGAGCTCTTTTCAAAAATATAATTTCCGTTGATTTTTTATTAATTACGTTAATGCCTGAAGCACATCAATCGCCAATCCAATCTCAACAGTTACACTGTTAAAATCCCATGGATGTGCATTATTCAAGACTGAATTGGAAATAGTTGGCGCTAGGTTCCTGGAATATTTTGTCTCGGATGGCAAATGACGGCGACGGTATACTGTCTTGATTCCGGTCACGCTGCACTACGGAGTGAAGTTGTTGACGGTAGCCGCATGCGGCACAGTCAAACAGTTACGCACAGGGTTCGTTGAACTTTCCGACGAAAATCAACGCCTGAGCTGTCTTTTTAACGAGGGAAATATACAGTGTAAATTCGTTTCATCGTCATTCTGTGTTTGCCCTGAGCCAGTCGTATCAATTCTCGCGAACTCCATTCACCGCATTACACATGCTCAGTAAATGATGACCGTCCTTAAATAAGTCCCTCCAATATGAAAAGACTGCGCCTCACAGTGGATCGAATCAATGGGAGAGCTCCGACAAAATTCGGAAACTTTATTTCAAGCTTATAACTCCGTTCGTACAAAACTTAGAGGTTTTAAAAGTGGTTCCATTGGTTTCCTCGTGAAATTTTCTGTTAGCGGCACCCCTTAAAATTTAAAATGTGACGAATTATACAGCAAAATTTACGGTTTTAGTTAAAAGTTTCGTGTCCGCCCTCTTTGATCGACTCGATCAACTGTGCGCCATGCCTCGGAAAATTGCTCATCTCAGTTACATTCTGTGTCATGAAGTAGCATGAATAAAAATAGGAAAATTTAACCTTAAGTTTTATTTTAATTTTTTCCCCTAAATAGCCAAGAAGCTTACATTGTCAACACAAAAACTACTGATTGTGTGCCATGCTCATCACAGTCTATCCGTAGAATATATGTCATTCATTCACCTCTATGATCCCGATTTCTTGGTTAATTAGTTTTATCACCAGAGTTTAAAAGACAATTCATACTACTTATGTTCAGAGTACATTTTTAGTAAACTAATTGGGACTCAGTTTAAAGTTAAGACATAGTAAATGATGTATCAAACGAGCTTAAAGTCAAACAAGAAAATAATAATTCAGCGTAATCAACTACCTACATGATGTTAACACAACAAGGAAAAGATGAAAATCCAATTCACTAAAACATTTCTTTACAACAGACGTCTCGACCCAAACGACTAGGTTTTTCTTTAGTGCAACCAGAAAACAATGGAAACATTTTAACAAAAATGAAATTTGCCAAATTTCGCATTAAAATGTATTTGAATTTACGTCTGAGGGGTCGACGAAACGGATACCGCGATCAAGGTCAATTTTTCTAAATCATGTCTAATTTGCATCTTCCATTGTTGAATGAACCATCGCAAATGAAGCAAGTATAAGATGTGGAGGAGGCGTTTTTCAAATCGGAAAACCTCTCGTCTGTATAACGAGTTGCCTGTTTTTAATCAGCCGAGGTATTAATTTTCAAGAAAGATTATTTTCATGTTATTTTGTCAGTCGGACCGCGTTGAGCAGAAAGGAACCAAGCCACATCAGCTATTGCCAAATTTAACTGGGAAATTTATTTTTTTACAAAAGAACGTTTGTGCGGGTACCTTTGAAATTTTTAATGAATTTGCTTTGTACTATGCAGACTATTCACGGAAATTCGCACAAAAATCCGCACAACCGTTTTCATGAAAAAAATTAAGTTGCCCCGTTAAATTCAAGAATAACTGGTGTGGTTTGGTTCCTTTCTGTTTAACACGGTCCATTTCGTACCGTCTCTTCCCTCTATCCCCAGCAAACACGCTAACCAAAAGCTTACAATGGAACTAGAGCGAGGGGAAGGATGCGCATTGATGACGGCGCAGAGATACAACTATTCGCGCTTGACGGATGTCCGTGCTGCATCTGCAAAATTGAAGGCGCGATACCGCGAGGCGTTCACTCGCGATGCATGCTCTGCCAATGAGGTGCCGCTCTTCGGGAGAAAAGCTTTAAAAAGGAGGCTCGACAATGTCCCTCATTGTGCTTCGGCTGAGTTGCTCGCGTAGAAAAGTGAAAACAGTTCTGTAGTTCTGTTGAAAAAAAAGTTCTGGTTAATGCGGTCCAGCTTTTTTTCCCGTAAATTTGAAATTTCTTATCACACCATTTTTACCTTCTCGTTTTAACAGACTTTCTTTTCTCGTTTTGTTTCAGCTTCCTTGACTGAAAGTTACTTAGTTTGTTACGAATGCACAGTGCATCCTCCGAGCTCTCACAGCAATCAGACTGCTAGACTATGTTCCAAATTCGACGCCTCGGCCCATTTCCAAGTCGAGTGCCCTTACTCAACTTTCTGCATGAGGCGGTCCTTCAAGCTGGACCTTAAGGATGGCAGTGAGTATTCTTCCTCGACCACTTTTTTCCCGTACTGTATTAGCTGGAGAAGATAAAAATCCTGTTGAGGTTCACATAAGTTCTTTAGTTCAAAGGGTTGAAGCAAAAGCCACCCTCGGGCATGCAACATTTTCTTTCGTAACATTTCTTCACCTTCCGGCCAAAGTATCACAAGCGCCCTGCGCCAAATTTCCGCCACCATTTTATTTTCTCACAGAGAGATTGTTCAATGAAGCTGTCCTAAAATTTCACTGCATTGTCTTTGTGCTGCCGATAAAAGTCAGTGAAATTTTCAAACAGATTCAACAAACAATTTCTCTGTAAAAAATGAAATGGCGGCGGAAATTTTGAAACGTCCCATGTCCCTTGTGATACTTTGGCCGGAAGATGAAATTCCTGTAGTCTCTATGAGATTCTGGCTGTCTCAGAAAGAAATCCGGAAAGGAATATATTATCAAGACGTGATTACACGTATATGTTCTGTAAAATTTTCCACCGTGAATAACAATAATTGACTTTAATCTAACTTTCTACCATTAATTTCCACTCGTATTTTCCGTGCTGAAAACAGCAGTTAGAAGGATCCTAATAACACTGATGGCTTTATACTACAGCAATATTCTATATCGACTATTTCGAACGAGTATGTCAACTTTTAGAGATGACATGCGTGTAGCTGCCCATCGGTGCGGTGGCGTTTGCGGACGTGGCGTTTGCGGATTCTAAGAATCGGGTGGCGTTTGCGGATTCTCATATTTTGACGGTGGCGATTGCGGACAGGCGGAACAGGGCCGGTGGACTTTGCGGACCAAAGAATTTTGGCGGTGGCGATTGCGGACGGAGGGGTAGGCATCTACGTATGCAGCCCCCCACCCCTGCGCTGTATATTAAAGAGAAAAATTACCGGAGAGACTCTGGATTCCTTTCCGTGGATGTAGAATGAAAAAAATATTAGTATTAAACATTAGTATTATATTAGTATAAAAACATATAAGCAGTGATCATACAGTAAATTTTTAAAATCGTCAGTTTCAGTTCATTTTTAGGATGAAAAACCTGTTGTTAATTCTAGTCTAAAGTTACTGAAAGGTAAAAAATAACTTACGAAAAATGAAAAAATATTTTAATTTTTTGACTTTCAGTAATCTTGGACTAGAACTTACAACATGTTTTTCATCCTAAAAATGGACTGAAACTGACGATTTTTCAGTTTCTTGATTTCCGATATGCCTTTTTTAAAAATTTACTGTATGTTCACTGCTCATATGTTTTTGTACTAATATAATACTAATGTTTAATACTAATATTTTTTTCATTCTACATCCACGGAAAGGAATCCAGAGTCTCTCCGGTAATTTTTCTCTTTAATATACAGCGCAGGGGTGGGGGGCTGCATACGTAGATGCCTACCCCTCCGTCCGCAATCGCCACCGCCGAAATTCTCTGGTCCGCAAAGTCCACCGGCCCTGTTCCGCCTGTCCGCAATCGCCACCGTCAAAATATGAGAATCCGCAAACGCCACCCGATTCTTAGAATCCGCAAACGCCACGTCCGCAAACGCCACCGCACCCTGCCCATCAGACACTTCTGAATTCCGAGCGTAATTTTTGTCTAATGGTCGCTGGGTCTCATAGATATCGGGCGTCGCGTCGTCTTGTTTATGCGTGTTTGTCATTAAGTCTGCTTCCGTACTCACGCATTACATGGAATTCGACGTATTTATGCCAAACAGAACTATGTGCATGAGCCCAGAGACCCATAAGAATATATTCATAACAGGGCTCACGTCATAATGCACATAGTTTTGTTTGGCAGAAATACGTCCCATTATTCTCTCCTGTTGCGATCCTCATGGGAATAAGAAACAACTGCTGCATGCATGTTTTCCAACCATGATATGGATATGGTTGATCGAGAAAATCGATCAAACAGCTGGAAAATAACCTGGCTGTACGCAATCTTTGCTCAATGTTTGGCCCCTCGAACACATGCCGCTCTCGTTATCACAATAAACTGTGTAGCAACTTACAAACACCTGCCGGCCCCTCCCCCCAATTTTTCGGAACTTGACTGTTCCGATGAGTAGCATTGTCGTCATAAAGCACCGAGGGTAAACTGCTGCTAATATGTTGATCTCTTAAAATTTAGGAGGGTGATCCATGCCACTCGTGTCTGGTTTTTTTTGTCGATTACAGGTATTGAGGCTTATACGGAGTCGGCCTAAATATAGAAGCAACCGCAAAGATTCAACGTCATCAACATCTGAGCGATTATCCTCAATCTTGTCGCAACATTATCTCTATGAAATCGCGTTCCATACAATCCAAGTTTTATCTTAATTTTCCCCAATTTTTACTCGATAATATTGCGATAAAACGCCGTCGATAAAATCCTGATTTTATTGCAAAATGCGATGAAATCATCGCAATTTTTTATCCGATAATATTGGAATCAATCGACGTCGGTAAAATGGCGATACATTCTCCAATCAAATCGCAACTTAGGGACCGTTCAAGTATTACATAACGCACTGATTTTTTTACCCCTTCCCCTTGTAACGCAGCCCTACACCCCTCCTTTTTGAATTGCGTCACGCTTGCCTGACTCCCTCCCCTCCCCCCCCCTCCCCATTTTCAAAAGATTTACTCGGGATTCGGATTTTCAACTTTTTGCTCGTTTTTTTTTCAGGAACTTTCCCCCCGGTTCTGATTTGTTACGCAACGCTGGGCTTGATCCCCCTCCCGCCCCAAGTCTGTTACGTAATACTTGAGCGGCCTCTTCTCTCGATCACTGCTTCTTGGGTAGGGTATCACCTAAAGAGTTTAATTTACCGGAGCTTTGATTATTATTTTTTTATTTTTCAGAAACGGTGAACGCAGTGGAGCGGGGCTGCGCCTCTCAGAAGTACCAGTATCAGTCGTTCTACGACGGGAAATGGCACGCGGAAGAGGCGGTGGAGGACAAGGTCTACCGACCGGGCTGCTACCCCGCGGAGCAGCTGGGGCTGAAGACCCCGACGACGGAGTACTGCTACTGCCCGACGAACCTCTGCAACAGCGCCAAATCCACGCAGGAGTATGGCACCGGCTTCCACCACACGGACACCATGGCCGTCATCATAGTCTTCAACGCCGTCAAGTACATCCGGAGCCTCAGATAGCCTCCGGTCTAGATCCTACCAAAGTCTTTCGGTCCTAGTTGACCACCGCACAGTGTTCAAAATACAGTCCAAATATTAAACAGACCTCTCACCATCTCTCCGTGCGATTTCATCCATGGAAAAGGCTGTTGGGCCGGCCACTAGACAAGGTTTGAGTCGCCTTGTAGGAAGACCCGTGGGCTAATTGTTGAAATCGATAGCCAAAACGATGGACAAAGAAGACATAGATTTATGGAGCAATCCGACGGTGGTTCTCATAGACTAAGGGAGAAAATGATGGATTGACCATAAGGTCTCTTGTAGGTTTCCGTTATAGTTAGTCCATTACTTACCTCCTTTGTCCATCGCAAGCATTTTCTTCTACCAGTAGGGTCCCTCCATTTTCTTTTTTGTCTTCTTTGTCTATGGTTTTGTCTACAAATGTTAGCAGTCAGTCCGCAGCCGGCCGATTATTGAAATTCATAGACAAAACTGCAGTTTATAGACCTGCGCCCTGAATTCGTACTATACTGCCGTGCTAAGGAAAAACGCCGTATGAACCTTCGAGAGTTGCCAAATTTCCTTTGATAAAATGTCTATTTTTGAGGAAAGCTATGAATATTTTGCCTTGGAATGTTCGGGAACTTTAGGTAAAATTGCTAACAAAATTATGTGGAAAAAGTGGAAGAAAAATGTGTACGTTTCCTGAGAATTCGTGATTTACCAAAAGAAATTTGGCAACGCCCGATGGCTCATACGGCGTTCTTCCTTAGCACGGCAGTATTGGCCTAATGATCGAAAAGCTCGCGAGGCAAGTTTTTCAAACTAGATCCTTCTTACCGAACGCGTTGCTCTCACGTCACTCATCAATCATCAGGTGTCACCAAGCGAAAAACATGTTGGGAGCATAGAGTAATGGGCTTCTGAAATATTTTTTCTCTGCTTAAAAACTCACGATGCGTAATAGTGAGGGTTGCTAAATATGTCTGAGACTTCAAACCTTTCGAGGGAAAAGTGGCAAGTGCTAGAAATGTCTTTCAATATGCTCAAAATGCACAGTGGAAATTATACTGATTGCGTACAGGAAGGCTGAAAAATACACCGACTACCTGCTTGAAAATCACGTGTTGATCGTACTTAGGCGCCATTAAAAGCTGCAAAGTTTGGCTTGAGTCAATTTTCTTAGAAACCGCGGATGACAGAAAAAGTTCCTTCTGATTCTAGAGTAGGCGAGAAATTATTGGATTGCACAATTTTTTAGCTCTGTATTTCTGTTCTGTTTCACTCAACTGACGTGTAGAATTAAAGTCTCCTTCATTTTGAAAATTATGCAATGAGAATATGGCATCTTCAGTATGCAAGTTCTATTGAAGGATTCCCGTAAATCCCCCCTCCCCAACAAAAATAAGTAAATAAAATAGATTAATGAAAAACAAAATTAGAAAGAAACCTTACTTAGTAATTAAATAACGCGAGGGTAACTTACAAAATAAAACAGATGAGCCTCAGATATGCATTTTCGCGTCACAAGTAGCAATGAGTGTTTAGGAAAACTGTTCCATAAATCCGTGTTAGAGGTCACTTGCTGTACTGTGCTTAAAGAGAGCGCCTTATGGATATTCAAACGCTCCCAGACTTTTTTTGATATGTTAATCACGAATTTTCCGAGAGAATGATACAAATTTCTTCGTAAGTCAGTGAAGAATTCAATCGCGTTCGTAAAAACTGAGAGATGAAATGTCCATAACTTTTTTCTCAGAAAAATAAAAGTGGAGAAAATGTTGGTAGCATTTGATTACTCATACGACGTAATCTCTGGATTCAGATTTGCAATGGGCTATTTTTATTTTTGTGCAAACGTCAAAGTTCGAAATGTTCTTTATCAACTCATCATTAGCCAGATTGAAGGACTTTAAATGACCCTTTCATCAACTTTCTCACCTTAACGTGTATTTATACTATCCTTTTTTATCACTTGTAAAGTTATTTTCTACTATTTAAATTATGCAAGATGCAATCTCACTCAATTTGGCGTTTAGATCCGAAATGAATTTATTTTCGACAATGTAAAATTCATGGGAACGACAACTCTATTTCTTAGTCTGATCACCATAATTAATGTGAATAATTCCGATTTGCTTTATAGTGTTTTTCGGTAAAGTACAATTAAATTCCAATATGTAGGACTTTTAATGCTTCAATTACGCTTCAAACACTCGTCTCACAGTTACGTAAAATCTTAATGCTGCAATGAAAGTTCTCTTCTCCTCTCTTATTTTTGTCATGACAATGAATGCTCTATCTCGAGAGAGACATATTCTTTTGGATTTTTTTTTATCTTTATGTCATTATTTTGTTAGTGATTATGTGTACAAAAACTGCCTGAAGAAATCTTTTCAAGTCAAAACATTAGTTCAGGATATTAAGGAAATTATGACCCTTGAAACAGCAGGGCTATATTTTAATCCCTGAATTAAAAATGAAAATCCAAAACTTTTTTCATTGTCAAGTTTTAAGTAGCTCCCATATCAAATAGTAGCTCCCAGCTCATTTGACAAATTTTTCCAGCCAAAGTGTCATGGCTTTTTCTTTAAAATCAAGACTTAAATCGGGACCTAATTTCCCAATGCGAAATACATATCGTGAAGAAAATCCCTCCTGTAAGTATAATGAGAAAGAAGAATCTGTGAAACATTTGCTGGTGTTTATTATGCTTTGAATTTCTATTCTTATTTGAAAAGAACATATAAATTATAATTTGGTTTTTATTTTAAAAAAAAAATATTATTCCTAAAATAAAGGAATCAATTTTTATGTAATGAAATTTTGAAGCACCTCTAAGTTTAAGGTGATCAACTACTGTATGTACGACAAAAACTATTCATCACTTACTGGTTTAAAGAAACACCCTACAAATAATTATGCCCGAACATGAAATGTAAAAAAGAACCTAATGCTCTGTTTTTTGTTCATGTACAATTCACTAAAAAAGCAGTTAAAAAAAAAATCAGTTAAATATACCGATGATGTGAATGATGTGATCCACACACAAAAGATCGGCTCATAGTCACAGATAATTTGCATTGGCTGCGTTAACGAAGACTAAAAACTCCTTCAAATAAGCGTGAGGCAACTAGCTATACTTCGCATTTGCGTGCATGCTCCCCGAAGGCATAACATCTACTCATCACTTTAACCTCACATCAGTCGAAAACCCAACGGAATGAATATTTAAGGCTGGTTTGACTGGAAAATAATGTCAACTCTCTCGGTACTTTTTCAAGATGAAATATTTAGTCTCAAGTTAACACACTCCAAACTTTGTTGTATTTTACTGATTCGAGACCATTCTGACTCAGACATGCGTCCAGTTGGACGTATTTCTGCGAAAAGGAGATATGTGCAAGTGGAAAGATGGGGTGTGCTCGTTAGTTGGGTCATAAGAAACAATGTAAAAGTGGATATAGCTCCTTTGGAGAAAATTGAAAAGCGGGATTTCCTATTAAATCAAAAGGAGCTAAGCGGCAAAATATGCTAACTCATGAGCCGCGGGCACGGGAAGAGAGCGTTGTGGACAGGGCTCATGAGTTAAAGCCCGCGTTGCCGGGCGTCGTTGCTCCCGCCGTCGCCGCTGACGTCACTGCCGCTTTATATTCCCCATTCATTCTTATGGCCCGACCACTAACGAGCACACCCCATCTTTCTACTTCCACATATCTCCTTTTCGCATAAATACGTCCAGTTCTAAAATCATAAAACCTATTGTTGTGTATTGCATTGCTTGATGATTTAATCGTTGGTCTTTTTCGCACCCTCTCCTCTCTAACCANGGGGGGGGGGGGGGGGTCGTTTTGGCGGATGATTTATCGCGTTGCCGCCAATCCCGGATTCGGCACTCGATTTCTGCAAGAACCGCACATCTTTCAAATTTACACCCTGCTCAGTGGCGAGGCGTGATTCGCGATATATCGATTGATCTGCCATTGAAACCTATGAAAAAGGATCGATAAACAGAGTGTTTGCACCGAACACCTCAATAATCGATTCTTTACCGCAGCTTTAAATGGGGAAATATCGACAGTCAATCACTCACGCCTCGCTTCTGCTTTAAATATTTGTCGCGCTAACTGCATACACTCGGATAATGTTTTAAAATTTCCTCACCCTGCCAGTTAAAGGTGAAAATAACTCTGTTTCTTCTGGACAAAAGTACCCGTATTATATTCTCCGAAGAAGTAAGCTCTCTCAAAAAATTAAAAATCCTGACCCCGATAAATATGAGAAATGAACCATCGATGGCAAGTTTAACTATCCACCGGTTTTATCGCGCTTAGTCAAGCAATTTAGATAAGATGAACCTGTGCTCTTGGTTAATCGCTGCTTTAATTCCCGTATCAATCAGCTGTTAACTAAAATTAATACGTTATTAAGCAGAAAGTATTTATCCTCAAAAGAAGTTTTGAAAAAAAAAAAACTCATATCGAGCGGAGCATTATGTCCGAACTATCCGCTATTTTTTAAAACTATCTTCGTAAATACATTTTTTCTGATTAATAAAGCCCATTTTAGTGGGTGTACTATCACCGACAGTAGGTAGTAGGACACTTTCCATGCCTTTTTGGTTTTGACTTTCACTAAGACAATCTTTTTTGCTCATGAAAATATGCTTTGTTGAAACTCTGTTTTTCATCGTGTGATTTCGTTTTTTGTAACACTATAATATTAGTTTGTACTTTTTAAAACTGAGCATCCTGAATATGCCCAGTAATTGTATCTGTGATAATTATAACAAGACAATTTACGTCATTTGGTAAAGAGGAGCCTCTTGCTAAACGGTTCCTTTTCTCCAGTATGGCGTGCATTCGGACACAAAGAACTACTATCTTTTAATCGTGTAAATTTGCTAATTGTTATTGTTTTAGTGTAAATAAATAGAAATATATAGTTTATTTATGAACTTCTTCTCATTCATTATATTTCTTTTTCTCCTCAATGAAAATATCATTCAAAGGTTGTTCAAAACTTGTTTCAAAAGCTGGAAGTTGTAAAATTCACAAAAACCTAAATTTGTCAACTAATCAGGAAGCGACATTTTCTTTTTGTAAATAGACTGAGAAGGCAATAACATCTCTGCATAGGCACTGCGGTATTCTAGTGCTGTAACTAACGGCATACGGCATCTCCATTCTCCCGTTTATTTCTGAAAAAGTGAGAGAAACACGAGTGCCTTCAATTTATGAGCATGCAACACTCACACCCGCGGAACACGAATAGTTGCATGAAGGCGCCACAACCAACTCGGAGCAGTATTTGTCAGTCGAGATACTAACAGCATTATTGACCTTTTTAGATACTCTGGCCTCGTGTTTCCTCGTGTGTTCTGCCGTGCTAAGGAAAAACGCCGTATGAGCCTTCAGGCGTTGCCAAATTTCTCCTGGCAAATCACTAACTCACAGGAAAATTGTCGAATGTTTGTCTACCAATTTCTCAGATAATTTTGTTTGTAATTCGATCTACAACGTCTGAAAATTTCAAGGGAAAATATTCATACTTTTCCTCAAAAATAAACATTTTATCGAAGGAAATTTGGCAACTCTCGAATGTTCATACGGCGTTCTTCGTTAGCACGGCAGTGTTAGGGTGCGCGTGCGTGTGTGTTGACTCAATAATGGTCCCTGTCAGTTTCGATGACCCAACTTCTAAGTTAATATAAACGTTGGTAAAGTTTGTGATGAGGACAGGTGAATGGTCTTCCGGGTGAAACAAAATTAAATAAAAGTGGAATAACTATATCACCGCTTAGAGGAGGTAATTTCGCATCTATTGGCGCAACGCACACACGCTCAACATTCCAAAAATTGACCCATTCTGCCGTGCTAAGGAAGAACGCCGTATGAACATTCGAGAGTTGCCAAATTGCCCCGGATGAAATGTTCATTTTTTGTGATCATTTTTTCTTCAAATTTTCAAAATCTTGGTAAAATTGTGAACTAAATTATCTGAAAAATTCGGAAGAAAATATTCATAAATTTAACAGGAAATTCGCGTTTTATGAAAGGCAATTTGGCGACGCCTGAAGGTTCATACGGCGTTCTTCCTTAGCAGCATTGCAAGTATTTCGAAGTCAAAGAATGAGAATAAATCGAGAATTGGAGAAGAACGCAGAATACAGCTTGTCTGCGCTGTTGCTGCTTTTGGAAACGATTCATTTCAAACATTTATAACATGAATGCAAATTATGGCTTGAAATTTGAGCGGGTGTTCTTGAAAGTATTAAAAAGCACACACGCTCAACATTCCAAAAATTGACCCATTCTGCCGTGCTAAGGAACGTTGCCCTGGAAGCTGAAATCCTACGTATCTCACCCAACATGGGTTTTTCGCTGAGCCCGATGAACAATTTAAATTTCCACGTTGAGGCACACTATGCCTGAGTTCATCACACGTCGATGATGGAACTACCAAACAGAATCTCGGTTTGCGACGCGACGTTGCAGACTTCCTGTCATCCTTAAATTTTTAAATGGAGAACTACGTAACGTCAATTCTTAAAATCTTCCAAGATGTTCTTCTCTGTGTGAGGCAAATTCTGAGGAAACTACAAGGTGTGATGTTGAATTGTTCTGTTTTAAAAAAATGAAACAGGAGCGAAACTTTGTAAGCACCGCAAACGAGATTCGTGTTTTGAACGTTTCATCGTCAATATAGTGCCGTCATACATGATGTTCATCATAAAAATGAAGTAGACATGGAAAGGTTAAAAAAGATTTAAAATTATTCGATAGCAATTATTTAATTTACATTCACGTATTTTCAATACAAATGACAGCAAAATTTCACCATTCGGGCTGAAATGATTGCCTTTGAAATTATATATGTGTGCATTTTATGCAGTAGAAGTTCAAAGGATTTACGTTACAAATTGACTTTCATCGTCGAAGTGTGTCTGAAAAAGCATAAAAAAATATGATAAGATGCTCAAAGTTACGACAATTAGTCACAATAGGTAGGTTGGGAATTCGAGTTTAAGTAACCCCATTCAGAGATAGAGTAAGTTTCACAATAGGTAGGTTGGGAATTCGAGTTTAAGTAACCCCATTCAGAGATAGAGTAAGTTCAGAAAATACAACTTTACACTCAAACTAGATTCCAAGTTGTATAAAAAGTTGACAGAATTCACGTGAGTGGTTAGAAATACTTGTGCACGTGCTTGCATTAAAGTTTGTAATGAGAATTGAATTAATGTTAGCAAGAAAAGGTCTGGAAGGCGATGACAAAGAAAAAACATGAGTTAAACAAAATTGAAAACTTGTTCTATTGCTTTTTAAATACACGGTCATAATTTAAAATATCCAAAACAAGTTTCATAAACAATTAAATACAATATCAAACCGTTTAAAATTACGCACTAATTACACAAAAATCATAAGTCAGTTAATATTATGTTATCAGGTCCGCAAGAACTATCGGCTTAGCCTAGAAGTTAGTTTAGCTTCTTCTGTACACTTATGATACACTTTTTACACCCTGTTGTGTGGCTTGATATGACTCTTCGAGCAGTAATCTGCAACAAACAAAAGGAAATGGGGTAATTATGAGAGAATAGTGTCAGCAGAAAAATCGCGCATGAATGGACTTAAAATTGAAGGAATTTTGAACTTAGGTATCCGTATACTGTAATTCCCCATTGGAAGAAATTGATTTCAACAGGATGCTTTTTCAGAGAGTAACTATCATGTAAACCTTTGCCTACGAATGAAAAAGTAAATGAAAAAGAGGAGGCATTGGTCGGAAGATGAGATCAATGTCAGAAACAGGAGTGACTAATTTGAAAGACGGATCTCCACGGAAAATATTTACAGAAGTAGGAGTGTTGGTATCATCTGTTTTTGAAGGCACTTCATCTTTTGAAAATCGTGCTTCGCAAATTGCAACCTCCACACTTTATCCTGTCTGTACTGCCGTGCTAAGGAAGAACGCCGTATGAACTTCGAGAGTTGCCAAATTTCCTTTGATAAAATGTTTGTTTATGAGGAAAATTATGAATATTTTTTTTTTAAATTTTCAGGAACTTTAGATCAAAATGCAAAGAATATTCCCTGAAAATTGGAAGAAAAATCTTCATAAGTTAACCAGGGAATTCGTGTTATATCGAAGAAAATTTGGCAACGCCTGAAGGTTCGTACGGCGTTTTTCCTTAGCACGGCAGTGTAAGCATCAGAACTATGAGAACTGAGTTTGCTCACTCTTGACTCCTCACATCCCTGTAAGGATCATGTATGTACTGTAAATTATAGAATTATTGAAAAAAAAATAAACAAATAAATAAAAAACTCTAGTAGGAATGAATGATACTGTTATAAAAGTTTCATTAAATGTGTGTTATCTCCCTTACTATAATACTTAACAAATTCCCACGTACTAATGGGAGTGAAAGTTCAAATACTCGATCAACTGATTCTTTGGAGTGAGCACAATCTTCACGTATTTACTTTTTGAAATCACATGCTACATACCTTGAATCATATTTTGAAGTTCTTGTTCTGTTTGACAGTAATGGAACTCCGCAGGCTGGACACCTCTGAATATTTCAACCACGCTTTGTTTTAGGTTGTAGAAAAGTAGAGGTTGCTTCCGCGTCACAAAATCGTCGATTAAAGATTTGACACCCTGAAAAAAAATAATTTCAAATGATGTTATAAAGTGGCGATGACAGGTTCTGAAACTTCGGTTAAACAAAAAACCAACTTCGGTTGGTTTTGTTTCGGTTCTAGCGTTTATAGTCAATTTTTCGATAAACCCAAATAACCCCGACTATTTTGCTTCAACAAACTTCTCCAAGGTGTTAGAATTCATTAATTATCAGAGTACATCCTTCCGTTTTCATTATTCAAACGCAAGAACCCAGTATTTGATTGCGTGTAACCGCTTCAATATAATTTTACTCTTTGCATTGCTACTATTTTGCAATTGAAGGGTATAAATATGGCACGCTGACTCATTATTGTCAATTTCACAAAAACAACGTATCGGAGAAATATGGAAACTTTCATAACAACCCAAGTAATGTGCCGACTACGCAATTTAATTTCATCGACCGTGGGCGTGGGCGTAAGAAAAGACACAACCTTTGAAACACTTTCTAGACCTGCTGATCTCAAATTTTGAGGGAAAGGGGGGCGGTCTTTTGAATTGACCGATCGAATGTAAACTACAAAACAAAATCCTAACTAACCCTGGTAAAAATCGGCGATAAGAGCTGCGTTTCAAAATACCATAGGAATTCTTATAGCCGGCTAAAGAAGGCTACAGAAAATCATATAGCTGGCTGTAGAATGCGGAGAAAATCATACGGCCGGGCTATACGAAGCGATAAAAAATTATGCAGCCGGGCTATAGTTCCTATCGCCGGGCTTTACTCTTTATCGCCTGGCTGTTGCTTTTTCGCCATCAATTATAAAAGGCTATAAGAAATTGTGTAGAAATTCGTGTGCTTTGGAAATCATTAAGTTTGATACGGAACCACCTTAATACTTACAAAACAGAAAAAATACGTTATATTTTCCTTTGATACATATTTTTTTTTCATCAATTAAAACGAGAATAATCCATACAGGATGTGTAACAATTCAAAATCATGAGTTGAATAACGCTGACTCCGCCAGATTAAATATTAGAGCCTAACACAAAGCGGAGCGGCGACGCACTGGCGCCTACAAACCTAACAGGGCTACTTCACGCATTGCGCAACGCGTGAAGTATCCCTGTTAGGTTTGTAGGCGCCAATGCGCGTTTCGCGCTGGCTGCCCGCCTGCCGCACCACAGCGTGCCACGGCGCTTGAAGCAACTACTTCACACCAGAGGTATTGCACAGTATCATACGAAACTGAAGACGCTCTAATATAATAGGAATGGCAGGTATCCATCAAAAGTACGGAGCTTTCCTCGCAAAATAAATCATACTACGGCCCAAAAAGAAAGCAGTGGTCCAAAAACTCACTAAGTCCTAGCATCCGTAATTAATGACGTTTAGCATACACTTTATCGCCTGGCTGTGAGTTGCTTAATCACCATCGGCTATAAAAGGCTATAAGAAATTGTGTAGCCGGCTATAGAAGCTATTGGAAATCTTACAGCCGGCCGTAGGTCTATGGTAGTTTGGAACACAGATTCTACTGCCAATTTTTACCAGGGAATTCTTACAGCCTAAAAGGATGTTCATGCCTTTCAGAACTGGTAACATTAGAAAATGGCTTAGAAATTACATAAATTGCATTACATAAATTGCATTACATAAATTGCACTACATAAATTACATTATAAATAACATTAGAAATTTCTTGAAAACTCTCTTGATAGATTCTCTAGTTGCAGAATATTGCGTGCTTTCAAGCAATAAAGTTGGCTCGTTTCTCTTCGAAAAAATGGAAGAGTAGCGAAAATTTTGAAACGCTGCAATAGAGATACGTGGTATTGCACTTTGACCATCGAGATATGTTGTATAAATTCTATTTTTACTCACCTCAGCGGCCGTGAAGTCGGCACCCTGGACATGGCGGCTGTCAATGACGACAGGAATGGAGCTAGAGCCTTGCTTAACTCCAACTTTGCTCACCAAATTTCGGATGTATTGCACCGATGGGAACACGAGACTTCGATCCGGAGTGATTAATAGGTACTCACAACCTGCTTCCGTCTGCAAATCGGAACAATCAATTTTAAAAGTCATAACTTTGACACGATGGTAAAAACAATAAATTCAAACGAAAGGCAATCGCACACCATATATTCGTTTTCAACAATGGTAGGAATGATTACTTTCGAGGATTCAACATGCTCTCATAGGCAGCGACACTCATTTTTCCTCTTTTTGACTGTCGAGCCACTGCTGAGGTATGTGTCAACCAATTTTACCTGGTAGCAGCTTGTTTGTCAAACACGATTCTCAACACGTTGGTCGTTGGTGTACAGTTGAGATCACATGGGGAGATCTTTCCCACTGAATAGTTCTTGCATGTTGCCTCTCCACTAATTGAAGGAGCTCCTTCGATTGAAATTATTTGGAGTAAGATGCAGTTTCTCCTTGCTTTCGAAAAACCTGCCTTTTCGATACATTAACTCATTTTATTGATCGTATAAAATTCGTATTTTTGGACCAAATTGACCGCGTTGAACAGAAAAGAACCAAGGCACATCAGCTCTGGCCAAATATAACTGGACAATTTAATTTTTTACGAGAGGAACTTTGTGCAGATTCCTTTGAAAATTTTAAGGAATTTTCTTCGAATACCTTGAAGAAAATTCACTGAAATTTGCAGGAAAATCAGCACAACCGTTTTCATGTAAAATATTAAATTGCCCAATTAAATTTGGCAATAGCTGATGCGGCTTGGTTCCTTTCTGCATAACGCGGTTAAAATGATTGGTGGATATCGCAATTTCATGGTTCAAAAGCATTAAAATTTCCCAACCTAACCTAATCCAATCCAACCTTACCCAACCTAACAACTTAACCCAACCTTCGAAAAGAATTAAAATTATAGGTATTGTATTGAATTGGAACTTCATTTCAACATCTCGGCTGCAGTGTGCTACTTGGGAGGTCGGTAGTTTCAAAGATTTATTTGACACCGATCAGAGAGTAGAAGTTCCTATAGCTGTCGCCAAGATGGCAGTGGAAGGTCTCAATTTGTCTCTGATTCAAAAAACTTGGATGAAGGATTCTCCAAAACGAGATCCTTATTGCGACCTTGTTTATTTGATAGAGCTATCGATCTTGCGACGAAGATACGCCTTACGCAACGTTTCAAAGGAGCCGAGGAAAATTCGCGAAATTGGCATGCTCAGTTCCAGTGGCGCGGCGTATCTTGCCATATATCGATTGTTATGCCATTTAATCCTATGGAAAAGGATAGATAAACAGGGTGTTCGCATCGAACACCTTAATAATCGATTCTTTACCATAGGTTTTAATGGCATAACAATCGATACATCGCAATTCACGCCACGCCACTGGTCCGTTCGCACGTCACGTTGCATGCTATGTGCTGTCAAGTCCATTCTTCTACCGATCATGTACAAAAGGCTAATTTCTAATGGACGCTCAGAAGAGTGAGCTTAATAATGAAAACACCAACATTTGCCACAGAGTTTGCTGTGTTGCAGATTTTCTTTTATTTCCCCACGTAATCAACTTCCATGAAAGCAATCACATTTCTGTAATCAGTCAAACGACGGATTCATTATTTAGAAGAGAACCTATTGAAAGAAGAGTCATTACATTTGTCCAAGTTACACGACTCTTACGGTAACAAGCTAGGCACCATCAGAAAAAAATATGGAACTATTTTAATATTCTAACACTACAAGCACCCCAAACCCGTGTAAGCACTGCAAGTAAAATTAGCCGTATGTTTGCCACTCATTATTCTCCATGTGCGGCAATCGGTAGTAATTCGAGTGGGTCACTCTCGAAAGTCTCTATTTACAAATCACGTTGCATCCCACTTTTGAGACGGATTTATCGATGGAAATAGGGGGACGGGGGTGGGTCCAGGCCCCTTCCGAGAAATGGGAGCTATTTTGCCAAGAAAGCACATAACATATCTTTCATCCTTGAAATTGAAATTGGATCAACTTTTCAGCCGGAACAGCTTAAAGTTACTGCTGATACGACTGAAATTTTTCAAAATCATATGGGAGAGGCCTCCGCCCCTCTACCCCCCTTTCATTTCCCCTTTCATGTCCCCTTTCATGCCCCTTTCATGCCTCCATTCATTCCCCCTTTAATCTCTTAGGGAAATCCCCCAAGCCCCTCTTGAGAGCTGGGGTGGTCACGCAGATCCTCCTTCGTAGATTATCTTTTTGTGCCCCCCCCCCTGGACTGTAGATCCAAGCGTCTTTTTTTCCCCCCCCCCCCCCGACCCCTCTTGATGAGGTGGCAGTGACGTGGCGTGAATTGCGATATATCGATTGATATGCCATTTAAACCTATGAAAAAAGATCGATTACCAGGGTGTTCGCAGCCAACACCTTAGTAATCGATTCTTTACCATGGCTTCAAATGGCGAGATATCGATAATCGATTATTTACGCCACGCCACTGTGAGGTGGCTGCCTGCATTCCCGCTTATAACGAAAAGTTGCGCCCGTGGGGAGATTGTTGGCCAATCAGAGTGGTCCCTTTTATTATATTTATAATTTGTGCTAGAACTTACCATAAGTTTTTCGACGTGTACGGTGGGCCTAGCAGAAGCGTAGAGTAGAAACAGAACGTTGATGCTTATTCCAATGACGATCCCAAGTTCAAGCCTGATTAGTAAACATGATAGGAAAGTGGCAAAGGCAGGAATCAAGTCGATCTCTGGAATCAGAAACAGATTCATCGTAGAAAAATTGCAAGCTAAAATATTTCGGACTCTTAACAGATATGGATGAGACACGTTGTACTACAACTCTTAAAACGGCTTAAGGACGAGTCCATAACCTACAGATACAATTATTAAACACATAAAACAAGGTATGTCAAACCGTGAATCCAATGAGGTATGCAAACAAGGAACTAGACATGATCAATGCAAAGCTGACAATGTTGCGATAAAAGTAGATTTAAAAAGTTGCTCTCGGCTAAGCGGCCTTAATTTGCTCAACAACTTCCTTATACTCTCCTCCCAAACTTGTTTCATACTTTTATCCATCTACTTTTTCAAATTTAAGCCAACATTGGTCTTTATAGAGTCCGAATGAATAGTTGCATACATTATACAGCACTGACTCGTTTCTTTGAAGCTCCTACCAGTAGAAAATAGTTGAACGTTTCTTTTTGGTCTTGAGAGATGTTCTGAAACATTTTTATCCTCGTATGTATTGTCAGGAGGGCGAAAAATTGATGCCTCAATTGGACTGAAGGCTAAATGAAAAATTGAATAAGCCTTCCTATCCAAAACTCATACAACTTTCCGTGATGATTCATTTTTGTATTGAACGTATTTCTATCAAACAAATTTATGTGGAGGTGAGAAATGTGGGATGTGCTCGTGAGTTCTCTGGCCGTAAGAGTGAATGAGAATAATAAAGCGCCAGTGACGTCAACGGAAATGGATGCGGCTCCTTGGTCGGGGCTCCTCGTAGTGCGCTTTAACTCATGAGCCCTGTGCACAACGCTCTCGTCCCATGCCCTTGGCTCATACATATACCCCGCATTCAGTTGGCACATAGTTCTGTTCGCTGAATTTAAAATCCCGCTTTTCCAATTCTTCAAAAGGAATCACGCCCACTGAGCACATTGTTTCTTATCCAGCTTTCTAGAGCGCACTCCATATTTCTCACCTGCACATAGTTCTGTTTCATAGAGATACGTCCTATTCAAAGCGTCAAATGAAATTTAATCGGCTGCCGAGTAAAAAGTTGTTGAAAATGATTGCTCTTGTGAATTGTGTTTAATCATTCAAATCCTCACTGATAAAACATTCTATGAAAACCGGAAGGATGAAAGTGTACTTCCTAATGATCCGCTAATAATGAGATGACAACGACATCCTTAGAATATCGATGAGGTCTTGCATGATTAGTTTGCCAAGAGTGACAGAATTCAAATGCGGATTGATCAGGGTCAGAGAGCTGTCGTTAAATTCAACGGTCGCGTGAGGACAGGACTGCCAATTATAGTGTAAAATTGTTTTTAAATTACATTAGTCTCAATAGATTTTTCAGGAAAAGGATCCAACGTTGACAACGCCGCGGGATAAAACGTTTCTGTCACTGTGTACACACCAAACCGACGCCTCTTCAATTCTGTATTTTATCATCCTCGTGGAAATTAATATTACAACTATTATAACTACTACTATTATAACTTATTATGACTATTTATTTATCCTGTAAATAACTATGCAAAAGATGACGATATGCTTTTCCGGGGTGTTTAATATGTGTAACGAGGAGATCCCAGTTTTGGGCGAATCCCGCTCGGCTCAGCAATGAATTGGATTACATTTTGCAATAAAGGGACCATGATTTCTGACTCATTTTAGAAACAACATATATGCCATTGGTTTCCGTATGTAGACAGGTGCTTTTATGGAAGATCCAGAGATAGTGGCTCCTTATTGCAAAATGTAATCCAATCGGTAGATCAATACTCGGCCGGGCAGATTCTAGTCTGCCCAATTTTACCCGGAAAACCAAAGCGCCTTCAATATTTTGCTATGCAACATGGACAATCTTCGAGCACGAATAGTGGTATCCACAAATCTATGGTAACTTGACAGATTTGAATCTGCAGAATTTCACTAGGACAGATCTGCCATGCTAAGGAAGAACACCGTATGAGCTCTCAGACGTTGCCAAATTTTCTTCGACGGATCACGGGTTCTCAGGGTTTGTGAATATTTCTCCCCTGATATGTCAGAGGATATCGCTCGTAATTTAATCTGAAAAGTGAGGAAATCGCATGGAAAAATATTTATATATTTCTTCAAAAATGATTATTTTCTGAGAGAAAATTTGGCGGCATTTCAATGCTCATACGGTGTTCTTTCCTTTGCACGGCAGAGATCAGAATCTGCCCCCAAAACATCAGAATCATCCGTCTGGACGGGTCGCGATTTGGCGAGGGATCGGGATCTGTCCCTGACATATTATGCATCCAACCAAAATATTAAACCGAAAGTGTCATAAGCACGAAGTATTGTGATCAAATAAATTTTGATAAAAATTACTGAGTGATGATTTTTCAGAACAAGATACTTGCTATTCTTACCGATTAAGATCGAATAGAGGCACGCCATTATGTTCAAAGCTTTGATTCTCCAAAAGCAAATAGGTACCAAACGACTTCTTTAATAATGTAAAAGAAATGACACTCTATTCTCAGTATTTAATAGAACAAATAGGAGATAATTACAGAGCAAAAAGTTTTATACGATACTGAGAGTGTGCGGAAATCATTTTAGCTTAGCACCCAACATTGAATAAAAATGAACTACCTGTGCGTATGTGTAAGTGGGTTTAAAAACCAATCAAGTTATTCTCAACGCTGAAATGTGAAGACGCGTGCCTCGCCCAGTGAGGTTCTAGCGAAGCGCTTGGCGCGCCTTCACATTTTCGTATATGCAACACAGACATCAAATATACAGGCAAAATTGCATCAAGGCGTAAACAGAGAGGCACGCTACTGTTTTTCTCTCAAACGTTGCGAATCACAATTTTCTAGGGGAACAATTAGTTTTGAAAATCGTATTTTTAAGATCCGAGACGGTTTACAAAACAGATTATTTAAACGACAATCATCTGGCACCAATGTTGGCGGTGATTACTGTTGAGTCCCGAAAATAACTCTCACACCGTGGGAAACTGTTAGCCGGGGTTCGGGGTTCTCCAGTTATTTTCGCCTCTGATTATGTTCCATTCATGTCCGTGTAATGAGTCATTTGTTCTTGGGCTCACTATTTTGACCACTGCCCGAATTTTATTTGTTCTCTCCTTTTGAAATCTCGCGAAAAAAATCATTCGGCTCGGAAGGAAGACAGTAAACAAAGAAGGCGCGTGAAGAAATCGACGCACGACTAGGAAATCAAGAGGAGGAAAACGGAGGGAATTCGCTCACTTTTCGTTCGCCAGATGGGTGTGATCACGTGGAACTCAACCATGAAGACGACCGCAGCTATGATGACGGCGGCCAGCGACGCTTTGGGAATGTAGATGAAGTACGGCGTGAAATACTGCAGAGAAACAATTACGATGAGACCTGCGAAGCAAACAAAGGAAGCGTTAAAATCCCAGTTTAGTTGGGAGTTAGTGCCAGTTTCTCAGCTAACAATCTGACGCAGTGACGCACTAATCACCAGATCGATGCAATTTTCACTGCTTTTGTTTCAATCGAAACGGATTCGAAAAACCGCCCTCGGTATTCCCTCTCTGAAAATATTCTGCGCTAGGACGGATTAAGTAACATGTAAAAATTAATGTCTGTAGATAATGGATCCTCTCATACTAGTTACAGATTTTTATTTTTTGAAAAAACCTCCAATATCGCGTAGATTGTGGAGCCGAAACATTTTTTTTTTTTTTTTTTTTTTTCAATTAAAGGATTAAAAAGGTTTTCTTGGGGTCCTTGAGGGCTTCTGACAAATCTACTTCACAAATGAATGAAAATGTAATAGATCAGTGATGTCGCGCTAGTCACGGAACTGTTTTACGATGCGGTTAACTCCTCACAGAGCCTTTAAAAAATTAAAATCCACCCAAACGCCAACTTTTTACACGTAGTTCAAGTTGGGTCATACTGAATTCATCAAACGGAAAACATACTCATGACTCGATCCCATTGAAAAATATTCTTGCTCCTCGAAGACAAAGTTTGATTTTTATTTTAAAAACAAAATTATCACAACAGCGCTCAATACTCGTCCCTATGGAGTGGCGGTACTGTATTTGCGCATAGTTTGACTCAAAACACTGTTAGTCTTATCGCCGTATCTGGCAGTGCCAGGCGAAATACAGTTACAGTTTAAACCCCCTAATAAATCTCTGTGAACTCCAAGCTCATTACTTAATCGAATAATTCGCGGAATGTCGTTTACATTCCGCAGGAGAACATCCTCCCAAGATAAAATTGAAAGTCTGGCAGGAATGTTTGATTTCCGTACTTTCATCTGTTTATGGTCAGAAAAAAATATCACCGTACTTTCTCTTGAACCTAGAGTGATCTGCACAGGAAAAATTCTAACGACATAAAGGTGATCCAGTATTTGATTGGACAAGCTCACAATTTCACATCATCTCAATCCGCATGTCAATTCTTATATTGTGCGGTCGATTTAAGAGACAGTTTTACACCGACAAAAAAGCCTAATGGTGGTTACGCAGAGATGCAAAATGAAATTTTGGAACAAGGAAATTTCATGAATTTTAATATTTTTCATGAAATTTTGCGTCTCGTGACCTCTTTCCAGTCTCTCTATATACGATCCCCAAGAAATTATTTAGCCGGAACTACCCCTCTAGTGCTGACTTTGAGTTTCCTGATAATTGGAGCGCGTTAAGCAGAAAAGAACCAAGCCACATCAGCTGTTGCCAAATTTAACTGGGCAATTTCTTCTTTTACATGCGAATGGTTGTACGGATTTTTGTGCAAGTTTCAGTAAATTTTCTGCATAGTGCGAAGCAAATTCCTTAAAATTTTTAAAGGAATCATAACAAACGTTTTCTTGTAAAAAATTAATTTGTCCCGTTAAACTTGGCAATAGCTGATGTGGCTTGGTTCCTTTCTGCTGAATGCGCTCCAATTAGATCTGACTATATTGATTAGAGGATAGGGAATACATAATTGAATCCGTTTCTGGTAGACTGACGTAAGTCCAAAAAATTATGAGTCCTATCGTTCTGCGTGATCAACGAAAACAAGGGCTCATGAGTTTTTGGACTTACATTCACCAAACAGAAACCGATACAATTATGTCGCCAAACAGACCATAATAAACATCACAGGACATGATTTTTTTTCCCCCTCCTACGAAGAAAGAATCTCCAATTCCATAGTAATCTCTTCGCCAATACAGATCTATGAATGAATTAATTAATTAATATTGAATGAATGAATGAATTAGGTCATAATTTACGTCAGAAAGAAACCAACCTGTGTAGATTCCACCAAAGGTAGTCTTGACTCCACTGGCATTATTGACAGCCCCTCTTGAAAGCGCTCCTGATACAGGCATGGACCCTGCGAACGACGAGGCAATGTTGCAGAGCCCCAGGGCCAACATTTCTTGTGTCGCATCAATTGTCTTACCCTCCGCTGGAAAAAATCGAAGCAAGGGATAAAAAATCGGAAATCCTAATGAGGATATTTTTATGTATAATTCAAACTAAAAGTGGATCGCATTTAGCAAAAAGCAATCAGCGCGATTACAGTGTTGCAAGAATGTTGCTTTTTCATAAGTATCCACAAAATCACCCAGGATTTTATTATCGAACGTTACTTTGTAAATTTCATTAAATTAATTTAGTTTATTTAAATCACGTAGATAGATGTAAAACATATTCTTGTAGTTGTTATGTTTTACTTAAATAAAATGTCCTTACAAAAGAAAAGGAAAAAACTCTCGTAGTAAAATAGCAAATAGTTTTTCTTCCCGTCGAAATATTGTTAATTTTTAAAGAAAATAATCGTGCAAATTTTAATACTGTACATAGCAATTTTGAAAACACTACAATCGCGCTGGTTCCTTTTTGATAAATGCGATCCGAGTAAATATTCCATGCTCATCTTAATTTATTTTTGTTAAAGATGAAAGCGGGATTTGGATGAGGTCACATTACCGTGTTCCCGTTACTCCTCCATTTCTTCGAACGGAAAATCGTCAGATAACGATGAAACTCGGAGGTTAAGCTATCAAGTTCAAGCAGCTGTGAAGAGCGTCAAATTTGCGTGATGACACACAACTCAACATAACATTCCGATCAATGACCTACTTGATTCGTCACCGTGTTTTGACTCCGTGCGTACGCAAACATTTTGTTTATCTCATTAGTCTTGTATTTTCTGACAACTCAATTGTGGGAAATTCAGGCGGTTTCATATTCAATCCACCCACCCAGTTCACGAAAAAAAGAGTTTTTTTTTAAAGCGGAATAGTTTTCAAGCATACAGGATGATCTAGGATTAAATGACCAGACTGCAGTAGTTTCTATGGATCAAAAAAATACTTCTTTGCTGTATACACTTTTTCCAAAAGTGCCCCCAGTCGGAGCTACACCCCCCCCCCAAAAACAAACATTCGGAAAGTGAATCGTTATTCCTGAATTTTGGCAACGTTTGTGAACCAAATCTCATGAAAATTTGCACTTTCCTGTACTTTTATGCCCTGTATTCATAAATTATCTAAAAAAATCGAAATCTCAATTTAAAGATGGGGTTTGGAGGTATTTCGGCTCCTGCAGTCTGGCCGTTTGACTTAGATCACCCTGTATTATTGAAAAATATTAAGGAGTGCTTTTACAAATGAGAAACACAATATGACAGGAATTCTCCAAATTGAACATCCTCAGTCATGTACGAAACGTTTCCCTGTTTCTCTTTCAAGGAAAAAGAAAAACTGTATGTAAAAAAAGTACACCCCGCATAAACAATAGGGTATTCAGCCGTTTTGCGTTGCAAAAAGATGACCTCTTGACCGCCTATTTCTCATCGTTGGCCTAAAATACTAAAATTCCTGAGCGGGCTCTCTACATTCGAAATGTACGTGGCCTGATAAATCAACCGATTTTGTATCAATAATTAAACTAACCGAAACCATCGCTACACCCAGATCACCCTCCTTCATTTGAATAAAAGGCCGATTTGATTTTTATCGCGTTAATGATAAGCATACTTCTTGCGTGGCTGACCACGTATGATTAATAATAAAACCGTCATTAAAAAGTAAAAGAACTCAACCTAATTCTAAGCACCTCAGTTCGAAACTCGTATACTCGCTTCATTTGCATTCGAATGAGGAAAATTTATTGCATTTGGTACTGAATTTAATTTTGCCCGCAGAATATGCGTGCAAAAAGTTCGGAGAGAAATTAAATATTCAAGCAGGAGAGGAAATAAAATAACGGTTGAGGGAGAGGTTAGCCGACTACTTTAAGAGGACAATGTTTGAACACAACAAGAATTAAAGAGGTGCGGCTCAGTCGGACCTAAACCCTGTTAACTCTGTTACCATGCTGAGGAGATGATCACTGATCAGCCTCTACGGAGAAATGGAAATTTTATCCCTTAAAAAAAGTCGAATACGCATATGACTTTTAGGACTCCTTCTGCAATGCTCAACAAAAAACGCAGATCTGCATAAAAACATCCCAGCTATGCGATTTTTATTTAGCAGGCCAGGCAAATGGTCGCGTTGCAACTTTCTCCACTTAAATTACCGCTAATTTTAAAAATTGGTTTTTTTTTTTTTAAACTTGTATCTCATCCTTTAAACCATTCATAGTTATATTTTGCAGCTTTTTCGACGGGGTTGGTTCCTAAAATTTGGGGTAAGAATATACCATCCTGCTCACATCGAACGATCAAAAAATGAGACCGACTTTTTTTTTATAAAAATCTTTTCTTGATCAGATGTAATTATTATGAATATAATACTCACAGAATACTTTTGCAAGCGAGATGTTTTCTAGGATTGAGAGAAGGGGCAGAACTAAGATCGCAGAGCCGAGACTAGATGTCATGTCTAGAAAATTGTAGGTTCGATTTCCAACTTGCGTTGAGAAGGGTGGTAACTGAAGGGTCGGTAAACCTTTTTTGACGGGACCTACAAAACAAACAGGGTGATTTAAAGGTAAAAGAATCAATGTCAAAAAAAATATCTCATCTAAAAAAGATATTAACAAAACTGTGTGTCCATGCATCCTCCATCCAGCTAGGTAATTTTGTATTAGACGACTTCATAGGTCTTAATGATCGGGTAGTCAATTCGGATCCACAGAAATTTAAGGGTTAACAGATTCTGGAAAAAATGAGTCACTGGTTATTTCGATTGAAGCTAGTCTCGAAGTGTCACACAATAAAAATGGAATGTTGAAAAATAGTTTCTGATTTCACAACAATTAAAACTTTTTTATTAGGTCGAAAGACCCTTTTTTTCTTATTTATGAACTATTTTACTTCTTTTTCTCGAAAGCCTTAACATGCCTCTTAGGCTTAAATTGACCCTCTAACTTTCAGGAAAAATTAGCATATACGACTTGACAGCAATGCACAATATCGACGCAATTTTTCTAATCCGGTTTTTTTTACTAAATGTGACAACCTTATAATTATCATTGTACTTCTTTGATTGTCTCTATGATCATTGAATTTTCCCATGGGCGCCTCATAAGCACTTTTTTGTGATGTTGACGTCACGTATTGAAATTTGCACCGATCCTAGACGAGACGCGATAAAATTGCGGTAAATCCGTCTTAGGTAAAATTGAGAATAGGTACCGATCCGTTCGATGAAATTATATCGTGAATTTACGATTGAGAGAAATCGGACAAAACAAACGCAGATCATTAAGGCCTCTCGAGAAACATGTGGAGGAGAAAATATTCCAAATGAAAAACAAATGTAGAAAAATTGACAGAGAGCAATATTCAAACCATTAAGGAAGTAATTTTGACCAGCTTCACTCGCGCTGCCCCCAAGCACTTAAACAGCAAAATATTTTGTACCGGAAATAAGCTCTCGTAATCTAATCTACTTTTCAGCAGTCGCACGAAAATAACGATTTAAAACCAATTTCAGTCTCTCGTGCTTTGAATAAATAATACCGCTTCCTCAATTTGCAAAATTTGATTTTTATGGTCTAATGTTGAAGAGAGAGGAGGGTTTGAGATGTGACCGGAGGAAATGAAAATATAAATAATATTTTTTGTTAGTTATAAGGGTAATTTAATTTTTAATGACATTTTAAAGGTGTGTATACTTTGTCAACTATTTGACAAACTTTCAATATCCATACTTAAGGGCAATTTTTCAGAGCACAAGCGCAGTAAAAATTTTATATTTATCTCTGGAAACACATACAAAGAGACACAAACAGATACAAAGTATTTTAAAAACTCATTTACGACACATAAGTACCTATTGTCAGAGATATCTAGGAGATTTTGTATTCTTCTAATTGATTACTAATGAGTAACGTTTCTGGAGTTCTGGACAGATGATTTGACAAACTGGTGCAAAACATTGCAAACTTCTAGAACATAGCTCAGAAAGTAATGCTTGAATTACTGATTGGATGCCTATTCAGCAAGCTTATCTCATGTTCCTTCTGGTTCCTTCTCATTATTATGAATAAAAAAGAATATCCACCAGTATCCCAATGTTTGGGACCTGTTATTTTGGGAATCTGACGTTTCCTGATTATCTTCATCGTTCATTCCGCCTTCTTGTGGGAATGCATTTTGCGATTAGGAACTACTATTTCTAGATCATGCTAGAATCTGCACATGCGCCATTAGGTTCCCTATTCACATAAGTGCTTTCATGTATGAACCAGAGGTAGAATATTCTTGCAAAAAAAAGTCAAATTACGCAACACGTTTTTCGACAATCAGGGAGACAAACATTTCAAGACTTATTTGGTGGATTCTCATAAGTTTAAGTTTCCTTTTGCCTAGGCTATTGAAGATTTTCTACTTATCTCTGCGAAGAACATAGCACAAGTCGATATAAAATTTTTGAAAAAAATAGTAAAAAAAAGCCATGCGCTTAAGTAAACAAAGTTGATACATAAATTCAAGAAGTAAATTAACTTACTAGACAAAGCAAACGGAGCGCTTCCGTTTTTCTGGACAAAAATGAAGGCCATGACTGAGCAAAACAATACAACAATAATATTACGACTAGTTGAGATGAACCACAGAATATTGGCCAGATACTTTTGTCCCGTGGTTGGGTTTTCGTTCGCACCGCAAATTTTAAATTCTTTTATTTTCTGGAAATGACAGTAAAGACAGACAAGTTTAATAAACTTCAAAACTCGAAAACCTCAAACGTTAGGTGATACTATCATACACCAAAGAAAGTTATGCATAACTTATTCGAATTATAATGACAAGTGTTAAATTAAATGAATTACTAACGTGTGAAGCCATTCTTTTTAATGTTGTGGCCGTTAATAAATGAGCTTTTTAAACTTCAAACGAATTTTTTGATGTTTGTGACAATTTAAAACTATTCCTATAACTAGATATGAGAGACTCTGTGATATCGATGGAATGGACCACTTAAAAAAACAGACCTGAAACATCCCCGTATAATACGTCTCTTTCAAGGAATTCCTCAGAAAATATGGTGGTCGCATTAAATATCCAAACCCCACTCCTAAGGGGCTAATTAATTTTCGTTATTCTTTTTCTTTCAATTCTACATCGGAATGAGTTGAATCAAAAATCCCAGTCACGTGTTGGGAATTCACCGCTTGAGTCACTCTGGATTTCTAATTACATAGCAGTGAACTTGAGGAAAACTTACTCTTAGAGTGAAGAGGACGATGAGACAAATGATGCCGAGGCTGGCATCAGCGGGGCTTGTCTCCCCGATATGGATCCTGATCTGGTCCCAAACATCCAAAAACTTTCCAGCAGTAAAATGGAGTCCAAGGAGATCTTTCACTTGAGACGTAGCGATTATGATGGCGGCTGCGGACGTAAATCCGACAGACACAGGTCCTGAGATAAAATCGATGAGGAACCCTGCAAAAAATGGGAAAATTATTTAAACTTCCAGAAAAAATGAGACAGTAAAAGTATTTTTGGAACATTTTTTGTATTCTTGACACATTCAACATTTATAAGAGGTAGGACTAATTTGGCGGGATCAAAACTAAAGAACTTCCGCTGAAAAAAAGTTCGATCGTATGATTTAAACTTTCGGTGCGAGTCAATCGAACTAAGTATGTGGTTTGTTCTGGCGAGATTTCGGTTCGTAGTATGGAACGTTTCGGTTCTTGCGAATCTAATCGATTCCGTTAAGTCGATGAGTTCAATCTTATGAATTGACTATTCAGTCTGACAACCCGAACAGTTCGATCTGTATGGAACACCAAGACATCAGAATGTACGACCGAACTTTTTTCAGTTTAAAATGAGAGGCTCGGAGGACAAAGCGCATAACTGCAGTCTGTGGGGAAAAAATGATAAATTAATGATTTCAAGTAAAACTAGTCTTAATGCACATTCTGTAAACAAATTCGCTCCCAAATTCCAATATTTAAGCATGAAAAAGTCAGTTTAAACTTTCTTGACGCCATAAAGATCCATGTAGTTTCGAAAATTAAAACACGCATTTCTTGTGTGGTCCAACAAATTCGACAGTAGCTGGTTTTTACTGCATTCAGTATCTATAAAAATTTGGTATCATTTCAGAATGAAAGAAGTCGGAAATCTGCGGCGAATCTCTAGCAATCTCATTATGAAATATGCAGAGTTCATCCAGCTTGATCAGAATGTCAGTTTTGTTTGTTTTTAAAATGAGTTGGCTGGCCGAATGCCAAGGAAATTCACGTTTCACTCCAGTTGCTGTAATCAGAGACAGCGATTTGCGGGATGGAAAGAAACCGAATTAGTCTTAATGGGTCAGTGCGTATCATAATCTGGCTCCTTTGCTCATGGAATACGTAATTTGAGACATAAAAGTGACTGAACTCTTTTGCAAAGCTGTCGATTTGTTCATGTCCAGCAAGATCTCGGCTAACTGATGGATGTTTGTTGCAATAAGCAACGTCCGGTTAAATTAAAGGGATAATTTTTTGGAGGTATTTTCAAAAGAGCCCCGAATTAAGTGAAGGTACAAGAGATATATTTTACCACGGGATGTGAAATGCAGGGCCGGATTTTCCTACTTGCCGCCCATGGGCCGCCTGTATTTTGCCGCCCCCTCCTCATTCGTTTTGAAACATACATAAAAACCATCAAGTGAACGTGCCAGCGGGGGAAGGGTGCATAAGACACGTTTACTCGTGTTGAACACATTTTTTGGGAAAGCCCTGTCAACACTACTAGCAAAAGGTCCCGGAACTTTGCGCGAAAGACAAGTTTCGTAAACCTATCTCTAATTGACAAGGCCTTCCATCCATGAGAAATGACCGAAAAAATTATGAAAGAACAAACACAAAATTTGATTTAATTATTTTAACTTCCGCCGCCGCGCCTCGCCGACCGCACCGTGTTTGGCGCAATGCGTGAAGTATTCACGCGGTCTTGTAGGCGCTATGCGTTTCACGCTGATCTTACTGTGTTTACCGCAATGCGTGAAGTATTCATGCATTCTTGTAGGCGCTATCCGTTTCACGCTGACCGCAATGACCGCACTGTGTTTGATGCAATTCGTGAAGTATTCTTGCAGTCTTGTAGGCGCTGATATGTGTTACATGCCGATCGCCGCGCCGATGACTTCTCCTTTTCATCTCAAGTCCTCGTCATCATTTCTCCCTAAGTTGCGCCGTTCCAGGCCAAATTGTGTGTTTGGTTTCTCTCTTAACGCGACTAATTAAAGGCGCTGTCTCTTGTATCAATGAAAGACGACCAACTTTGAAATTACTATGCTCTCAGGAAATGAGAGATTTTCTATCCTTTTCTCGTTTGTATTTTTTTTTCTAAATCCGATTTTTTTTTACACGTACATTTAAAAAAATTGCAAACTTTGCCGCCCCCTAGATTTGCCGCCATGGGCCGCGGCCCATGTGGCCACCCGCCACCCCCTTAATCCGACCCTGGTGAAATGGTATGTATGAAATCTTGAACTAATATATTGAATGAAACTTTTGCATTGCCAAATCCCAAAAGCTTAAAAAATTTAAAGCTTACATTTTCACTTTTCCCTCAACTCTCACTGATACACTAAAAATGGAGGAACTATATATGTATATAATAAATAACAATGGAAGGTCATTTTAAGACATTTTATCCTACTTGGACTTTTAGATTTTATCCTACATTTCATCGAACGGAAAGTCCTCGAGGTTGCCTCGAAGTTGGACTTGAAAGCTTATATTTAAGATTTCAAAAGTGTTTTAAATTCTCTCAAGAGCGACCGCAACTTTCCCCCTCAACAGAAATTTGCAGCTTGTGGACCTTGGAAATTCATTTTATCAATGCCTTGAAAACCTTGAAGAATTGTCTTCGCAAATATGAATCTCAATAGAACATCGATTGTTGAATAGGCGCGCAACAGAACAGAATTCATTTATCCAAATAGAGCAACTTACCAAACTGAAACGTTCCCATTAGTAACTGTACGATACCAGTCCAAAAACACAGCAAGATAGCAAACTCAGGACCCAAGCCGTGTAAGTTCTCTCGAGTTAGGATAGCCATGATGGCTGTTGGACCGATGGGACTGTCTTTACTGCTTCCAAAAATTGTGTAGACAAAACATGCCATGAAGGACGAATACAACCCATACTGAAACATCAGAAGGTTAGTAAATTAGAGACTCTCAGAGAGACCGTATCCGCAGAGTTAGATTCTCTTTTGATTTTTTTTTGCTTTTTAAGAAAAATTACCAAAGGACTTGAGTAATGGTCAAATCTACTAGAGCAGATGCCGCACTGTGAAGGTTTGTGGCTGATACAGTTCTTAGGGGATGTTAAGGAGCTAAGTTATGTTTGCTAAACCCAGAGCGAATGTCTTACAGATAATATTGCCTTCATTTCATCCACCTGCAACCCCATATCACACCACTCTAACAACGAGTGTCAAAATAGTAACATCGCAGATGTAGCAATTAAGCTGATACTTACAGCGCGTTGCGAGAGGTTCATACAACTTTATTTTACCCAGCATATGAAAAAAGACGCACAAGAAGAAAAAGGAGAAGAATAACAGGAGAAACAAGAAGCAGAAGGGGAGGACATGAGGGATAGGTATATTAAGAGGAAGGTGAGTTAAAGGAGAATTAAGAAGGCAAACGGAAGATAGAGAGGAAGGAAGGCAGGCAAAGAGAAAGAGGTAGTGAAATGTGAGAAAAAATGAAGAAGGGGAAGAAGAGGAAGAAGAATTTTTATTTTTCGTCGTCTTTTCTTCTTTCCTCGTTCTCTCCTTCTGCTTTCTATTCTTCTTTCTCCTCTCCTTTTTCTGCCTCCTCTTTTCTTTTAACTACTCCTACACTTCCGGATGGTGGAGCCGTAGCTTTAACTGCTCCGGATGCCACGCCCGGATGCTACGGGTAGCACCGTCTATGTAGCCCGTGTGTACGGCTCCGTGTGCTTTTTCAGTGTATGCGCAAGAGTAACCCCCTATGGCGAAAAGCCCTTATGGCTGTGGGTGATGAGGTACCTGAGGCGGGAGGCCGGCGACGTTGGCGAAGGCGATGGCCTGGGGGATGATGGTGAGTCCGACGGTGATGCCGGCGACGAGATCGGAGAAGGCCGAGTCGGCGGTGTAGTGGGGGAGCCACGAGAGGATCGGGACCCGCTTCAAAAGCACCTTCCGCGAGCAGATCTTGCGCACCCGCTCCTCCGCCCAGTCCTCCACCTGCGAGTACAGGAGGCTGCTCTTCCGCCTACCCTTCCGCCCGTCGTCCCCGCACCCGCCCCCGCTCCCGGGGCTCAGCGCTGGAAGTCGTGGTGGAGGCGGCCCCGCCGACCCCGGTGACGTCGTCCTGTGACATTTGTGCTCGTACAGCGTCACCGCCGTCGTACCTGCAACACCAAAAAAGCAACGTGAGACGCTGTCCGGCCCAATGAGAACATAGGCTCTACAATGAGTTCAAACTAAAATATATTCAATTTGGCATTAATGGACCACTAGACAAGGTACGAATTTAAGCAATCTGATACATGTTTCTTAACCAGAATTTCACGTGGAACACGATTCACACTACGAAAATTACCGAAATCAACTTCTAACGAAGATATTAACGTTTTTATTTCGCACTGATTACGAGGAATTTGAACTGCCCGCTCACAAGAAACTCAAAGCTCTACGTGAGTCAAATCGCGCACTACACCGGTTTCAGCAAGCTTCTCAATCGAGCAATGTTCATTTTCCACCATGTGTTGTTCAAACTATTGGTAATTTGCTATAGCTGAGCCAAAGTGTCAAGATTGAAGTTGAAGATTTTTACATCGCAGAGACTGTCATGATAAACATTTAGCGCGCGATGTGAATCACGTAGAGCATTGAGTTTTCATGAGCGGGTGGTTTGAATTCACGCATCAAGAATCATTAAATATCTTCGTCAGAAGTTGATTTTGGTAATTTTCGTTGTGTGTATCGTGTTTTACGTGAAATTTTGGTTGAGAAACATGTATCAGAATGCTGAAATTCGTACCTTGTTTAGTGGTCCATTGGACATATTTCTGATAAACGGAACAAGAGACAGGCGGGAAAGAAGGGGTGAGGTCGTTAGTCGAGGGCCATAAGAATGAATGGGAATTATAAAGCGCCAGTTGCGTCAGCGTCGACGACAGAGACACGAGACCCTCTACTGGCCTTTTGCCGCCAGGTGGAAGCTTTTACTTTCGGGCATTCAACACTTCCTTATGGACAATTATAAGGGAGCAACATTCACCACTCTTAATTCGGCTGTTGACCTACCTACATGGTGGATGATGAGCTTCGGGTGACGTCATGAGCCAAACAGTTTTCCCCAGTGGCTTGTTTGCGATACGAAACTGCCAACACGTTGTTGAACATCAACCATGTAGGTAAGTCAACAGTGGAATGCTGAAGAAACTTGTTTGGCTCATAACGGCATCCGAAGCTCATCATCCACCAATGAAGGTAATGCAACAGCTGAAAAAAGAGTGATGACTGTTGCTCCCTTGTTATTTTCAATAAGGAAGTGTTGAATTCCCGAAAGTATAAAAGCTTCCACCTGTCGCCAAGAGGCCAATAGAGAGTCTCTTCTCTCTGGACGGGAGCGACGACGCCCCCGTTGCTGAATCATTGACTCATGAGCCCTATCCAGAGCGCTCTTGTCACATAGCTCCGTTTGACAGAATCCACAATCCCACGTATACATTTTTTCTTATGCACCTTTGTAGAGTAAACCCCATATTCCCCACTCGTCTGAGTAAGAAAAGACATAGGAAAAATTGAAAGCAAACACGAAGGAATATAACTCACATGCATGATCAATGGTGAATGAGGTAGGATAATTTCCCCTTTTGCTCCTTTCCCCCCTCCCCCTGGAACACCCCCTCTAGTGTGCGGAATTCCCGAACATATTGCCATGCGATTCGATTAAGCATTTAACATCAGACATTCTTCACTGTTAAGAGGAAAACAGGAATGTATTTTTCAGGCCGGCCGCAGACTTAAATCGCGGCTTGAAACCCCGGCTGCTTCTCTCGGGGCCCCAATCTTGAGCCGTACTGCCTCGCTAGGGAAGAACGACGTATGAACCTTCAGAGGCTGCCAGATTTCCTTTGATAAAATAAAAATTTCCAGGAAAATGTTTGGTCAGTTTTGTTTTAACTGTCCAGCGAATAAGATTCTCAAATTAATCTCAGGGACCCGAACATTTCAAGATTGAATATTTATAACTTTTCTAAAGATTCAATATTTTAACGGGAGAAATTTGGCCACGTCTGAACGTACATACGTTGTTTTTCCTCAGCACGGCAGGAGGGGGGGGGGGGG